TTCAGAGTCCTTGCCTCATCACAGAAACAGCAAATGTACATTCAGGCAAAGGGACACTACAAAACAGAAGCCACCCAGAGGAAAGCTGGGGCAGTTTCCCACCTGGAAAATTATGGTCTCCAGTGTTCTGTTAGGAAGTGGAGTGACACAAGCCTCTGCCCTGCAGAGAGGAAGACACTGTATGCGAGATTCCCACTCGGTGTTCTTTTTTGCTCTGCTTCATCAAGATTTATTCTGCCTCCATCTTCCCTTCTCTGGTCCACTGTCACCTCTCACCCTGACACAGAAGAAAGGGCTTTAAGGTGGAAGCTGTGTTACAGAATTTACAAAATCAAATGCTCAGAAGCAAGAGACATCTTGGTCATGACTGTATTAAAAATTAAATGGTGCCAGGTTGTGTTCCCAGATTTCAGAACTGAATCATTTTCTTAAATCATAGTACATTCCCTTTTTGACGCAGATCAAGGAGGTGTTTGGTCACTTTTTGACCCAGAACAAGGAGGTATCCTAGCAGACAATATCTTTAAATAGTCTATTATTTAGCCCAGGCCAGGAACAATTCTTCATAAGGAATTTGCAGACCCTCTTCGGGAGGATAACGATGTTTCATGTAAGTAAATGCAGACCTTTCCATTCCAGTTGGTTTCAGTGACAGAGAAAGTCCCTACATTTATTTTTCTAGTACAGCTGTAGTCTACAGTATTGTTCAAGGAGCACAGTAGAAAAGGCTAGAGGGTTTGGAAATATCTCTCATGCAACCTGCTTATAGTGTGAAACAACATCATCCTTCACATCTCTGTGACAGCTGTTGCTGCTTCCTTCATCTCTATCTCTGTTTATTAAATGGCTCATTGGTAAACTCATGAGAATAAACTACAACATGCATGAAACTCACCTTTTTGGAAGGTACATCAGAGAAACAGCAGCACATTTCTACGTCTAGGGCTCTGGAGTAGCAAAAAATAAATGCAATGGGGAGGAGGAAAGGAAGACTGCTCGAAAAAAATTATGTGTGAGGGCAGATCACACAGGGCAAGGTTGCTGACTCTAACCATGAGTCAAGGGTCTCATACCAATTTACATTGCCCAGCTGATGCTATTCAAAAAGCCTAAATGTATATGCAAGTCAAGCTACAAACTTTCAGCTCCATTCATCTTTTGCATCAGAAGTACTTGGAGCACAACAGCAGTAAATTAGTGCCAGCTCTCCCACTGAGATAATTCAGAGGATCTTTTTCTGCCCAGCAGGGTCTGATTTTTCATGTAGATTCCATATTGTGATTAACATGGAGGCATTTTCTCATTTAACAGGAGGAAAAAAACTCAAAATACTCTAAAATCTTCAACAAATAGGGCTTTTCTGGGAGGAAACTTGCTTTGTTTCTTCTTCTCTTCTCAGTGAACTATAAATTTAAATGAAAAACTGTGCCCGCAATGGGCAATGATACAAAGAGATGGATTGATCCATCCTATTTCACCCTCAGATACCTTTTGGGGTACATGTACCTTTTGAGTGAGGCTTGTCAATCACCTTGGTAGTTGGTATTGTCCTTACCTCCCACACCACTGATTAGTGTCACTCATTGAATGAGCAGAGAGGGCGCGGAGGCAGATTCTGCCAGCAGCAAGAAGCTTACTTCAATCAAACTTGGGAAATACAGCCCAAGATTCATGCCATGTAGGTGGAGTGAGGAGGAGAGGAACACATCTTTTCCTTGAAGGACTCATGGCTGCTTCTATTTATTGCAAAAAAAAATAAACTGTCTAGTTTAAGGAGGAAAAGAGAGAAGGTAGATTGGGTTTTAGGACCACTGGGTGGTGCCTTGGTAGTAAAACAGCACAGGGTGAAGAGGTGAGGGATATACCAGGAAACTGCACTACTTGTGGAGGGTCTCTGTGAAAGCAGGTCATCCATACCCATCTACCAGAGACAGCTAGATTGTTTTTATGGAATTATTTCTACATGGCAGGAGCCAAGGGACTCTGCAGTATGGTGAGAGGTAGGGAAGGAAGAAGGAGAGAAGTGGGAGGCTGGTTTTCATGTCTGCATGTTGACAGCCAACATCTTGGAAGCTTGATGGAGAAGTTTACTGCTAAATGTTGGCCTAAGAAGAGGTGACACGCGGTAGCTAGAAATGGTGTGGAGCTGTAAAGAACTGAACTGGGATCTCTCCAAAGCTTGAGCATGCCTGGGAATTGGAGCTGTGTACACATGCTGTGAAGGGTTAATTTGGATGTTATGGAGTTGAAAGGGGGGAGTCCTAAATTTTATCTGGTTGCAAATGAAGAACAGGAATTATACCTCAGACTGGGGTGTGACAGAAATATCTGTGTTGCATTGTGGTTATTCGGTGCATTTGGAGGCAGGACTTGTCTGGAATGGGACAGAGACTTACCTGTATGGCATGGGTTCCACCTTCTGCAAATCTAGGCTGTCAGTATTGCTGAAATAGGTACTATGAGGCTTAGGAAGGCTTGCAAAAGGGTCCAGGGGAGCCCTAATACCCCAAAGTCAAACAACAGTGAGCCCCCACCACTTCCACTGATGGCAGTGAGATCTGAGTAGGGGAGGTTTGCAATGGGGTTTGACTGGGCTTTTAAAATAGCCATATCATTGGAGTGTCATGAGCTTTGACATCGGTGGGATAAGGAGCCTGGACAGGTAAAATTGGATGTGAGAAAGGAAGCCTTAAGGGGAGAGGACATAAAAGGCAATGGAGAGATGGGAGAGACCTTTTAAGAGTAGGGACAGATGTTCCTGCAGTCATTCAGGGGAAAGAGAGTACTTGGAGCAGCAGCTGCTCATCCCAGCATTAGTCATCAGCCCCTGGCCAAAGTCTGTCAGGAGCCCCAGCCAGCTTCAACAGCGCTGGCAGAGGTGAGGGGAGCTGCAGGAGCAGGGCTGCCCTGGGCCTGTCCTGCCTACACCCAGCCACACCTCTTCTGACCTCTCATAAAAGCAGCAGATCCTGGACTAACCTGGCACACGGACTTCCACCCCCTTCTTGGGGCACCAACTATAACCCACTAAGCCACCAGTACCTTTAAAAAATACCTACAATTAGGGATTACAACACAGCTTGACTCTGCACCCTCTGACACTGCCAACAAAGCCTTGCTTGGGCAGGAGTCCTTTTCAAGGCATGGATGAGGTTCTCCACATGACATTCACACTTTCAGAAACTGATCATTTCAGTGCCAAACAAAAGCCATACAGCTGGATTCCATGCACAAATGACTCCATCTAGAAATAGATGTCCAATTAAGGGAATAGATGCTTCCAAAAATCATTTTGTTTCCTACAGTTTAGAAGCTTGCTTTCTTTCTTTCTATTTTTTTAATTGACTTTCCATGTAAATCAGTTTGGGGTTGGTTTATTTTTAACTGAGTTTGTAAATTCCTACACACTAAGCCCCCAATACAGAAAAAACAGAATCTGCTATTTATTTTGGGTTTTTTTAATTGCAGAACAGCTATCACATTTTCCACTCCATCTTTTGTCTCAAAGACTTTCATGCCATTGTAATTCAATAGATCTAAGATCTGTTTTTAAGGGAAGCTGCAGAGCTCAGAAGATCCAAACACCAAGCAGGTCCTGTGAGTTTTTGAGTGCTCTTAAGGACAATCAAGATAAGTAAAAGGTTTTAAGATCAGGTTAGTGCAATGATCAATGTTACACCCCTGATGAAGTGTATCCAACAGTCAAACAAATGACCTGTAATGTGGAAAAAAAATGAGAGTTCACAGAACAGATCATTCTGCCTAGCAGAGATCCCTACAGCCTCGAGGAAAATCATTCCTTGGAGTTGGTGAAGACAACAGGACACATGGAGAAAGGAAGGGGAAGCTGCTTAGAGCAGGCTCATGTCAGGCAGGTTTGATTTCTTGGTCTGTTTTGGTGCCACATCTTTCTCCTGGGCTTATCCACGTTCAAAAGCTCAATCCTGCAACCAGAGTCTCCACAGATTCACCACTCTTCGGTAAATGCTGGGGTTTAATGGAGAGGAGGGTCCCAATCCTTCCCAGTCCCCCAGGAACTGAAAAGCCTCCTGGAAAACCACGTTTTGCCAGAGTGCTGGGCTGGAGTTGTCCAGCTGCTTTGGCACTAGGTTTCATCAGGATTTACACCCTCTCACATTTCGTTGTCCCTCACCTGCAAACGCCTGAGCCTTTGGTACAGGGCAAACAAAAAACGCAGGAGAGGCCAGTGGGGCAGGTGGTGGAGGTGCAAGTGGGTGCCAGAGGCTGGAAGGACGAGAGGGGAGATGGAATTCTTCTACACCACGCTCAATATGGATTTGAGCCACACTGTGTGTCAGCGCGCTGACCCTCTGTTGGTGAGGAGAGGGGCTGGGACGTGTGTGGGAGCAGCAAAGGGATGGGCCAGCACGCCTTCCCTGCCGGGGGCTGTCCAGGGAGCATCCCTCACACTGCTCCAGCACGGCGGGCAGCGCGATCCCACCGCTGCTCACACACGGCTCTGCACAGCGCCCCAGGCTGTCTGCGGGAAGGGGGTGCAAAAAGCCAGACAAAAAAAAAAACACCAAAAAACCAAAAAAAACCCAAAAAACAAACGAACAAAGAAAAACAATTAATAATTTAAAAAATTAAAAAAAAAAAAAGGAGGAAAAAACACCCGCCCGCCTCGGCGGGGGCGCGAGGCGCCAGGGCGCCATCTCGTGGCGGCTCCCCCTCAGTGACGGCCCCGCGCCATGGCTCCATTCGCCCCCGGGGTGCCACGCAAACGCGAATTCCTGCACAAAATGCAGAATTCTGAGGAACTGGATTAATTGGAGGGTGGGGGAGTTGACACGCCGGGAAAGCGCTTCCCACTATTCCAGCAGCAGTCGTGACCCCGGGCAGTGGGTTGAAGGCGTGCCCTGGGCTGCGGCTCCCAGCCCTCACACGGCTGTGCAAACACGGGCAGCCCCTCGGCCACAGGGCTCCCAATGCTTCTGCGGCTCCCGGCGGCACAGCCTTCCCACTGGGCCGGGCAGGAATTTTCTGACAAACACGCTTCAAATCAACAAACGTCGCTTTGTTAAACATCGTGCTTTAACCGCGGTGAAGTTCGGTGGGGTGCTGGTGACTAAAAGCCTGAGTAACCATTCCTTTGCTGCATATGCCGGGTGGGAAAATTCTCAGCTGGGAAATTGGAGCTAAGGTCTTCATCTATGGGCAGCTTGCCTTGGCAGTGTTGCAGGAAGGCTTCCATGACCAATCATGGAAATTCTGGTCAAAGGAAGAGGGAAGGCAAAATAAAAGTCCTTGTGAGCAGCTGTCAGGCAGCTACTGTCCTCTGTGGCTCACCTCAGAGTGCTTGGCTCACATTCAGACAAACAATGATGACCTCAAAGCTCAGGAAGATAAGGCAGTGAAATGAGTTCTCAAGTTTTATTCCGAGCGTGGTTCTGAAGTGTGGCAGCAGAACTGAAAGCTCTGGTACCTTCGTCTCTGAATTAATTGGTTTTGACCTTCTTAGTCACTGGACTTGATGCAATGAGTCACAGCTGACAGAGTATGACCATTTGCATTTGAACTTTTCCCAGGGAATGGTTTGATGCTGTTTGGCTTGACTGGAAATATGGCAATCCAACCTATTATATCTACCAAAATGAGGGAAGTCTGTTGTGACAGTATCAACCACTACATCTTATGTATAACTAAGTGGTCCTCAGATTACATTAGAAAAATAGATTTGGGTTTTTTTCTTTAGAAAGTAGTAGAGATAATCTGTATCATCTGAGGTAATTTTTTCTGTCCTTCAGTACAGTATGGCTAAAAGATTTCCCTCCATAAACTTCAAGTTAAGCTCACAACGAAGTTAATGTCAAGTGTGTCATTTGGGGTTAGTTTCTGCAACTGAATCCAGTTTTGCTGCAGTGCTCATCTCCTTTCTCTGACTGTTTTGTAAGCCAAGCCACCTCCTATCTTGGCACCTTCTACTTGCTAGAATCATTCTTTGAAGTCCTCTGTGTCATGGTGCCCTCTCCTACAAACTGAGCACACAGTCTTTCACAATTACCCAAAGGAGTTATGTGAAGAACAAGTAGATCCATTTGAGTGTATTTTGTGTCTAACAATTTAAAGCTGTGTTGAGTATATGAGGCCACGTAATGAAATCATGTCACGTTACCTTGTGCAGCAGGATGCAGCATCTGGAAGAAAATGAGCAAAGTCTGTTCTTGGTTGAAGTGACTGTCCCTTTCTGGAGCAGGTTAAGCCTACAAGAGAAACAGCAGGAGTCAACAGCTGCATGTCAGGCAGGCTGTGCTTACACCCAGCTTTTCTAGAGGAACTTTAGAAGCTGAACTACAACACTGGATGTGGTCTTCTGTAGCAGTTATGTCAATGCAAAGGTAAATCTCCAGCAGAAGACAGTCAGGTGACTTAAGTAATGATAGTCATGCTCTTATTTTTTTACATTCATGGGGAGTGAAACAGATTAATTTTACCTTATTGGGAAATTATCTCAGTGCAACCCTTACTACCAACAAATGTCAGCTCAGCAAGGTTGTCTACAGAGCAGAGACTATATTTGGTCCCCTGTGCTTTGTCCAAATACTCAGTCATTCCTCCACCAATTATAATAAAGGTAGTGCCTCAAATGGATCAAAAGGTTTTCATTGAGGAAGTTGGGGGTTTTTGTTTTGTTTTGTTTTTGGTTTTGCTTTTTTTTTTATTTTTTGGATAAACGATATCCTGTGGAAGCCTGGGGTAGATGTTCTACAATGAAACTCTGAAGCCAGTCATCTGAATGTGGAATGACATAGCCCACCACTATGTCTGTAATAAAGAAGCAGGTTGAATCTGAAGATTTAAATGTTCTTTCCCTGGTTCCAGTTCTCATCCAGTGTCTAATCAGATCTCCAACATCTGGCTAGATGCTGCTGTGTGAGCAGCTGTTTCACATCTGGGACATTGGACAGTAACAATGAAGTGAATGGGAGAAAGAGTCTGAGCCAGGAACCCCAGCTTTATGGCAATCTTGGTTTGAAAAGAACTTTAGGATTTACTGAAGAGTTGGGAGGAAGAAATCCCATGTACTTGGGCCAAACAATATCTCCTCCATAATGCGTGACAACATCCCAAGGAAATAATGACAAGAAAGAACTAGTCAGTGCTAGTTAAAGTGCTCTTTTTTTTTTTTTTTTTCTTTCCATTTTTCCTTGCTCAGTTTCCCAGAGGATTTCTTCTTCACACAGCTGTGCAGTGGTACTAAACATGACTCAAACTGCTACTTGACTAATGTCACCATTTACAGTCTTTCTCTGTAGCCTGGGTGGGCAAATATGCTTCCCATTTCTGTCTCTGTCACAGGCCAAATCCCAATTACTCAGGGAAAAATAAGCAAATGAACATGTGATGTCATGACAACTAGTTTAGGCTGTACTGGGGAGTTGCATTAATTCCTCCACAGAACAGTCTTCTCAGGACACAACAGTACACAGCTTAAGAGTGGAGCAGCACTTGGTATCATCCTTGCCACCAGTATGTCAACTGCACCAGTCAGCTTGGTGTCGTCTGCAAAATTTCTGAGGATGCAATTGATCCCACTACCTGGGCCATAGCTATTAAATTGTACTAATATTGAACAGTTTAGGTCCCTGTATGGACTTATAAGGGTTTTCTATGGACTTTTGACTACTCCTGCAAGGGTCAATACACACTGCAAGGTCACCACTCTCCCTTCTTAGGCATACCTAGTGCATTTTTTGCTCTTTTCTCAGTTTGCTCCAATCCCACTCCAATAAGAACAGCCTAACAGGGAACAATTCTTGCTGTAAATATGAGCCTTGGTTTACACAGTAATTTGTACCAAAATATTTCCTATCCAGAATTCTTAATAGCCATCGATGGTATCCTCCGAGGCAGAGAAACCCTGCATTTGGCCAGCTCTGATACCAATCAGCCAAGTGCAGAGGATGAGATTTAAATAAAACAGTTCATTAAGGGGAAAAAAAAAAAAAAAAAAAAAAAAACCACCACAAACAAATCAAAGCATCTCAACTGTGTCCCAAATAAAGGCTGGTCCCCCCTGGTTTCCTGCAACACTTACCCACCTAAGCAGCTTTATAGTTCTTGTTGCAGGGTCACTTGCTGAGATGAGAATGAGTTTGCTGCTGTTAACAGGGGACCATGGACTTAGCCATGACAACTTTGAGGATTCAGAGCTTGGCCACAAGAAGAGCAGTGTCTCTTCCTTGAATGCCCTGTAAGGGGGAGAAATGACAGAGAGTGAATATGAAGCAGGGATTTTAAATGGCAGCAAAACTTCCCCAGGAAACCTAGCACCAAGCCCCAAACCACTGAAGAAGGAGACAAAGACCATGTGGCAGGAATTTGGTAACTGTTGCTGAGCAGAACAGAGCCCACCCTTTGCACAGCAACACGAGCTCATTTTGACTGATTTCCATGGATATCTGCTTCCACTACATCTGCTGTGGGGAATTGCAGTTTGAAGGCTTTAAATAGATCACAGTTATTACCACAAAAGGCACTAATAAAAGGGGCTCATACTTCAGCTGATGAATAGATGCAGAGCTGATTTCCAAGTTTGTACTGCATCATGAGCAGAAAAAAATCACTAATCCTAAGCCTGTGGCAAAGAATTTGCTGCATGAATCCAGGTCTTTGAAAGGTCTCACACCCACTGAAATTGATGAGTATTGAGAGGCTGTGTACGTCTGGGGCTCCGGAACGAAGCGTTTAGTTCTGTGTATTAACTATAGCCTTTGTGCTGTGCATACACATACATACACCCACACACATGCACTCTCATCACAGATTTAATTGTAGGTAACTGTAGGTAAGCACTTCCAACAGGGGAAATTAAATACCCAAAGAAAGGTTATTCTTTAAATTTATTTCTAAGATGCTCTGCCCTCAAGATACAAGTGATGTCTTTCCTCTCTCTCAATAGACACTTTCTAGTATGTATTATCTCACCAACACCAGTACTTGAAAGGATGCTGTACTCTGCAGCACTTACTCTGTTTTGGTCTATTTCTAACATTGAGAGGCTCTAGCACACTTTTCTCCATAATTAACCCCTTTACTGAGGGTGATGCAGTGTTGTCCATCTCCCACCTGACCATAGATGGAAAGAAAAAGCATTGCCTCCATTTCTATTTCTTCCCTACTGTATGTTGTCAGAAGAATTGGCACTGAAGACTTCCCAGTTATGAGCCACTGTGTGTATGAACAGGGATGTGATGCAGTTGAGAAAGGAAATATTTCTCGACCATCCTCCATGAAATCTGTACATTCCTTCCAGCCAGGCACAGCTGCAAGCTGTCCTCAAAACAGAGCAATAAGGAAAGAAAACTCTCTTTCTCTTGCTGCACTCGCACTGTTCCAAAGAGAACTGTTGAGTGCGGGTAGATCCCGATGTTACTGTCAATGAGGTGGGAGGAGAGGTTGGAAGCATAGCTCGCAGGAAAAACAACTCCTGACTCTCTGAACACCACACAGCAGGCTGTCACATAGGCTGTTGTTCCCAAGCAGATACCTCATGCTTTGCAAGATGTCATTTAGGCACAGAAATATCTTCTCCCTCCTCTCTTCATTTTTCTTCTCAAAGAGAATGCCCCTGGGAAGAGTGGTCCCATTAAGACAGTAACAGCCTCAAAGGTGTATGAAGGCTTTTAGACAGCCCTGGTTGCTGGAGTAGAAATACTCCAGGTTGAGTCACTCACCCAGGACTCCAGCACACGAATAGAGAGTTTGATGGTTTAAAATAATTCAGCCAGCCATGTGTTGAGTGAGGAGGGTTAGCTAAATACAGTCAGTATGAAAACTAGCACTGGGTTTTTTGTTGGCTTTTTTTTAAAGCCTACTCCTTTAGAGCCTAGGCACACAAGCTAGGCGGGGATCCACCACTGAAACCTGGTCTCCTGAAGGCAAGCCCTTTCCAAATTAGAAAGGCACGGCTCATTTTTAAAAGACCAAAGGATTATGAGCTGAGTTATCTATGTGATAACAGGCATGCACTGGAACCTTGTTCATTAATCACATTATTGGATGGAGGTAGCTGGAGCAGCATTTTTTGGAAGCTGGATTAGGCAACATATGACTGAATCTGCCAAAGCAGGCAGAAGAAGGTCATTATCATGGATTATAAATTAAATTAGGCAAATGAAACCTGGATGGCTTAGACCCACCCAGGATGGTGGCAAAATGTTAGAAATCAAAGAGGGGATTACAGATGAGATTGTAAGCATGTGCATAATTACATAGGAAGATCTGAGGTTCATACACTAGGATTTAGAGACCTCTCTTCTGCTGGCGACATATTTAGATATCCATGTCCTTCATTATCAGTCTGGGAGTCTTCTTTGGAAGTGAGAAGATTGGCAATTTCCCAAAGTGCCACCATAGCTCATAGTTCATCTCCAGAGAACTTCATTTCAACTTCAGCCCCAAAATCTTTAGACTGCTTCACTTTTACAGATACTGCATGCAGTATTTACTCTGTACCCGCATTGTTACTGCACATCTATATACAGGATGTCCTTTGGCAACTGCTAAAATGCAACCACTTCAAAGCAGGAACTGCTCACTGGCAGATGGCACAACTTCACGTCTTCCTACACAAAAAGATCACAAGCATCCGCTGCCCTGCAGTCAGCAGCCTGGCCTAATGGACAGCTGAATGAGAAAAGCCTGAAAACAATGTGCTCATGCCTCTCTGCCTCAGTTTACCCTCTCTAAAATGGGCTTAACTGCGCAGTACTGTAGATGGAAAGCATAGATAGGCCTCTAACTAAGGTCTAGGCTAAGAATGGTAGGGCAAATAACTCAGGCATATTGTAAGAGGGGTGCTGTTTTAGCATTTTATAGACTGAGAGTTTTAAACTGGATGAAACTGAGTTCTTAATTACCATTAGAAATTAGAACAGAGCTTATCCCTGATGACACTTACAGTCAACAAGTTTCTGATCTAAAACAGATAAGGAAGCTATGACTCTGCTCAACTAGAAAAACCATAGCAGGAAATATGTTAAGAATTATATTGTAATTACTCTTCTTATTATGAGCTAGCAAAAGTTATTAAGAACTCCATTTCACAACAGAGGATTTTGACTGAAAAGGAAAAACAAAACTGATGACTTTATGCACTGAGGGATCATTTATCATCTGTAGATGGAACATAGCAAAAGACATAGGGACACCAGCTTAAACATGACATGCTAAAATTAGCTGGGGAATTAGTTGAGTTGGCAATACATGCTATTATCATAGCAAGAACAAAATGTACAAAAGGTTTATGGGCCAGCTTTGTGAAAGCATCGCATCCATAATCTTAGCACCATGAGAAAACTTGATCTTTCTTCCCATACAAAAGCATACCAGTTAGCAGCTTGTGTTAGGAAACTCCCTCCAGTGCATTACAACAGAAGATACATGACATTACAATGTCAGAATGATGCTACTGCTCTTCAGGAGGCTCTAAGAGAGTAAATAGCCTCGGGGGGGAGGCAGTTGTGCCTCCATTTCTCACCTGCATTTCATTTTTCTTTCTTCCTTACAAACCTCATAGCTTCATTTGCCCTCAGAGAGGGAGCTCAGGGCTGCAAGTGTGGCACTTGGTGTGCCCTGCCTCTTCTTCCCCATCTCTGGACAGCTTGTCTGAGCGTGACTGGTGCAAACCCTTTGCTCAGCCACAGACTCTGCAGGGACACCATATGGCTGGTTTAGACAAAACTCTGTGGTATTTTTACTCCTTTATACCCAACCAACTCACAGTTAATCCGTGGCATCCCTCAAAGGGCACCAGACTATTCATCCAGCTGAGTGAAAAAACACAGACTCACTTTGACACTGTATCAGCTAACCCTCCAGATAACCTCAAACTTGCCAAGAGGACAAGCCTGATGTCATGCAAGCCCTGAGCAGAGCAATCCCAGATCTTGGTGAGGGTATCAGCTCCAGGAATTTTCCACCCTTCTGGTGAGAGCTTGGATGCTGGAATTTATCTTGAATAATGAAACATGTTAAGGGAGGACAGAAGTTTAAAAAACTTAATAAAAGCACCATTAATTATATATACTAGGAAGTAATGGACGATCATAAGCTAAGCGTAGAGACATAGAGAATTAAGTGCTAATAATCCAGAAGGTCTTCCACTCAAATCTGTTCTGACACTTGAACATTTGAACCTGCTTTAAGCACAATCTAAAATAAGATTGGGCACCCAGCAGCTGCCTTCATACTGAGCTTTCCTTGGAGAAGGGAAATGGGAAACAGGCATAATTTCCTTTAAGCGCTCCTCCAGACATAAGGTGCAGTTACAATATACACCAGTATGTATCCCTCTCCATCCCAAATACACACTGCCCTTTCCATGCAGTTACCAGCTACGCAGGCATGCCCCATGCCAGGGCTTTCCTTGCCTTGCCCAGGAGAGCCCCAGACCTGTCTGTCTGACATGGCTTATCACAAGTGGTCACTGCAGGGCTGGAGGAGAAGGTGGAGGCAGCCTGTTGTGTTTATTTATTTGCAGGGGATGAAAGCCAAACTGGGAAAGGACTTTGGTAAAGTGCAGTCAAGTGACTATAAAGTACTGCTTTAAAAAGGCACAAGGTCACCTTTGCTGACATTTGGATAAGGATTTTATAGAAGTCACAGGACTGGGAGATGGGCTTGTTGTGCCTATGATCACAGGGGAGGGAGGGATTTATATTCTGGTTAAGAACGCTGCATTGTTGTGACTCTTGTGTTCATAAATGTTCATTTATTAGGCTGTTGGATAAAAGAGGCTGATTGGGCTTTTTCTTCTCACTTAGTTCCAGGTGACTTCTTTGACTCTGTTGGCACAACTTCATGAAATTTAACAGCCCTACTACCCACCAGTACTCCCCGGGTTCCCTGTCCTTCCATAGTCTGTCTTCTTACTTGGTTAGACCTTACCTGTTTCAAGGCTGTACTTTATTTGAACACAATGTGAGAACTCATATATATCATCCTCTCAGATGAAGAACTGGCACACAAGAATGCTGCAATCTGAAGGATTTGGACAGATGGGCTTTGCTATGATGCGTGTTTTCAACCTGATGCTTGTGTATAGGTATGTATGTGTGTGTGTGTCTCTGTGTCTGTGTGCTCAGTCTGAGAAGCAGAGTCTGATTGCTAAGCCCTACACTGCCTGGCAAAGCAGCCTTGAGCAAAGCAGCCTTGATGAATGAGTTCAGGAAGGAAAACATGCTCTGATGCCATGCATCTTCTGGAAAAAATTGTTATGGACAAGCATGTCTACATCACAAAAACACCCAGTTTCACTATTTATTTTCCTCAGTGGCATAACACACAGGACAGGTTTTGGCAAGGTGGCAGAAACCTTACCAAAATAGGGATTGTGACAAAAATAATCCTCATCTAAAAGCATGTAGTATAGGTGAGCATTTGTCTCCTTATTAA